ATTTTTGTATTTTTAGTAGAGACGAGGTTTCACTATGTTGATTAGGCTGGTCTCAAACTCCTGACCTCATGATCCACCTGCCTTGGCCTCCCAAAATCCTGGGATTACAGGTGTGAGCCACCAAACAGATGCCTGTTTGGTATCTTCTAAATCTGTTACTCTAGGGTTTTTTTTTTTTGTTTTTTTTTTTGTCTTTGCAATTAATTTGTTGGAGAAAACAGGTCATTTGTCTTGTAGACTTTGGGTAGTCTGGATCTTACTGACTCCTTCCCTGAGGCAAATATTCTCAAAAATTTAACAAATATTCTTCTGTCTTCTACATCTTTTGTAAATTGGGAGTTCTGTTTATCTACTAATTTCAACATCTCCCTGAGGGCCTTCTACTTTGAAGTGTTGCCCAATTGTTTCTCTAAAAAGGTCTTGCATAAGTAAAGGGATAAAGATGAATTATGCACCTTTGCCCATTGTTTACATTGAAGAGAACACTCACCCACTTGTTAACTCCAGGTTAACAAAATACCTGCACTTACCTTTATTGACCCTGTGGACAGTGTAGATGTCAACACTGCCTTAGGCCATGGGGTTGGATGGGTTAGCAATGCTGAGGAGCAGCTTGTCCTCATTGCTGATGGGAGATGGCAATAACAGATAGTCACAGTCTTAATCACAGGCCTTCCTCTCAGCCACAATTTCAGCTCCTCTCCCTCCCCTACCCCCTGAAATTTTTTTCCCCTGAATTAGAGTTTGAAGACCAGAAATTACTCCTGGGATTAGTAACATGAAGGGCAAGGACAGGGTTTGTGAATGAGCATCATTAGGAGTTCTGGGACAACCTTGTTCAGTGGCTGTTGAAGTTTTGCCTGCTGGAGTGACACCCAGCTATGACTTAAAAGATAAACTGCCAAAAAGTGGGGCAAGCTTTGCAAAGGCCTTATTACATAGCAAATGATTCTCATGTTTCCATTCTTTCTTTCTTTTTTTTTTCTGAGACAGTTTCACTCTTGTTGCCCAAGCTAGAGTGCAGTGGTGTAATCTTAGCTCACTGCAACCTCCACCTCCTGGGTTCAAGAGATTCTCCTGCCTAAGCCTCCCGAGTAGCTGGGATTACAGGTGCCCACCACCATGCCCAGCTAATTTTTGTATTTTTAGTAGAGACGGGGTTTCACTGTGTTGGCCAGGCTGGTCTCGAACTTCTGACCTCAGGTGATCCACCCACCTTGGCCTCCCAAAGTGCTGGGATTACAGGTGTGAGCCACTGCGCCCACCCCAATTCTCATGTTTTCATTGGAGCAGGTCCCAAGCAGACTTCTGCTTAATGGTCAGGCCTGCATTCATCCATGTGGCAGAGGCAACTCTGTGTGTCTAGGGCTGACAGAAAGATGCAACAAGGAGGAGATGGCCCCTGTCCTCAGACAGCACATGGGCCAGTGAGGAGCTAGGAGAAGTCTAAAAGTCTAGACTAAACTTCTCTTCTGTGTGGGAGACAGCCCTCCAGCCCAGCTCCTAGGGCTTCTACTTCATAAACTCTGAGTTTATAATGGTTCTTTTTTTTTTGAGATGGAGTCTCACTCTGTTGCCCAGACTGGAGTGCAGTGGTGCAGTATTGGCTCACTGCAACCTCCGCCTCCCAAGTTCAAGCAATTCTCCTGCCTCAGCCTCCCAAGTACCTGGGACTACAGGCACGTGCTACCACACCCAGCTAATTTTTGTATTTTAGTAGACAGGGTTTCACTATGTTGGCCACGATGTTCTCGAACTCCTGACCTCATGAGCTGCCTGTCCCAGCCTTCCAAAGTGCTGGGATTACAGGTCTGAGCCACTGCGTCTGGCCTAATGATGGTTATTTCATTGTACACACATGTATTGAGTACTTGCCTTGAATGTGGCTCTCTGCCAGGGAGGTAGGCTCTGAGATGAGTGACATATTCTGTGAGTAGCAGACACAGATGGCTGATTCTTTTGCTGCTATTAAACTGAGTCTCAGAAAGGCTTGCTGGAAACACGGTTGCACTCTAGGGAAAACCGAGATCACAGACTTCATTCCAGCCCCCAGGAAGTGGAGAACAGGGTGGATAGGGAAGTCACAGGAGCCAGGCCTGGTCCCAGCTTTCAGGGGTTCCCGATGTATGGCTGTCAGTGCTAAAAAGGGTTCTCCTCCTCCCACCTAGGTAACGTGAAGCACCTGATTCTCTTCCTCCACGAAGCTGTCCTGGTGCAGTATGTGGACACGCTCAAGCTCGCAGTGCCCTCTCTCATCTACACCTTGCAGAATAACCTCCAGTACGTTGCCATCTCTAACCTACCAGCTGCCACTTTCCAGGTGAGCCCCAAGCCCAGCATAGCCCCAGAGGAACTAACTGGGTTGGGGATTGGAGTATGGGAATGGCGTGGTTGGGGGGGGGTATTGCAGAGGACAGGGGCTGTGTTACCTCCAGAATGTCTTCAGAATGCCCTCAACCTTCCTTGTTTGTGAGAATTGGGGGTGGAAATAGTAATGCCTGTTCACTGAGATGCTACGATACTTAAAAGAAGTATCTATGAAGAGCCCTTGGCTGGCGATAGATAAGCTTTAGGCTATTTGTGGGCAGCTTTGTGAAATGGTTAAAGAGCCTGAGTTCTAGGGCCAGGCTGCCTGCGTTCAAGTCTTAGCTCTGCTACTTTCCAGCTGTGTGATTTTGAGGCATGTCTCCTAACCTCTCTGCGCCTTCGTTTTCTCATCTTTAAATCAGGGCTTATGGCCAGGCATAGTGGTTCATGCCTGTAATCCCAGCACTTTGTGAGGCCGAGGCGGGCGGATCACAAGGTCAAGAGTTTGAGACTAGTCTGGCCAACATAGTGAAACCCCGTCTCAACTAAAAATACAAAAAATTAGCTGGGTGTGGTGGTGCGCACCTATAATCCCAGCTACTTGGGAGGCTGAGGCAGGAGAATCGGGTGAACCCAGGAGGCGGAGGCTGCAGTAAGCTGAGATTGTGCCATTGCACTCTAGCCCGAGCATCAGTGTGAGACTCCATCTTAAAAACAAAAACAGGCTGGGTGTGGTGGCTCACGCCTATAATCCCAGCACTTTGGGAGGCTGAGGCGGGTGGATCACGAGGTCAAGAGATCGAGACCATCCTGGTCAACATGGTGAAACCCTGTCTCTACTAAAAAT